TAAAGACATCCAAGGTAGAGTTCTCAGTCACTTGTATAACTTGGCAAATAGCATTATTTATAAGCCTGGCCAAGAGCAAGCCCTTTCTGGGAAAAGCACTGTGTACAGAGCAGTGTTTACAGACAGGTATGGGAAAGGAGAGCAGCACTGCAACAATTGAAGTCTCACAGCGGAAATAAAGCCGAATGAGGACTGGAATACTAAATTAGTTTGTCCCGGTCCATCCTTCATACCCAACTCCGCTGCTTTAGCAGTCAAAAATTCTAACACCTGTTCTGACAGAAAGCATATCAGCAAAGCACAGCATGCTCACAGTGCATGGACTTCCTGCGAACAAGAGCAGAAGTGGAAGCATTTGCCAGCGTGAGCTCCGTTCTGACACAGGTTGACAGAATCCTCCAAGGATAACCAGCTCCACAAAATACAGCTGTGAAGATAGAACTGGTTGTGAAATTTAGGGCTGGAAAAAGAGGTAAAAGCATTCCTTATGCTGAACATCTGCTCTTGCCTCTCTCTTGCAAGGTGAATTTAATTAACACAATCTCAAGTAGCAGACAATAGAAGAGGAGGTAAAAAATGCTTATTTTTACTTACCCAGAAGAACAAGAATAAACAACTTATTTTTGTTCTTTATTCTAACACATCTTAAAGGGTGAAAAGTAGCTCTAAGGGCATTTCCCAATAAAAGTAGCAAAGGGGGAAGTTTTAATTTTCAAAAGCACGTGAGGTAATCTCCAAGGCTACTACATACAGTATAGCCCATGTAACTAACTACAAAATGGTGTTTACCTAGACAAATATGTAATGATAGCTTTCATCTCTATGTATTTATATAAATCAGTTGCTCATATGATGACTGTTAAGTGCTCACCTGTTCAGATGCTAACCAGTAAGGCAGGAATTAGAATGCCTTCCTCCTGTATAAGGTTCGGACTTCATTCTCACATGCTCTACACTGGAATAGTTCAATGTCACATTTTAAAAGCAAAAATCTCCCTTTCTAGCATTGGCAGCTCCAAGAGACCATACTGGGCAGACCATAACAATTAAAAGCCTACTACAGATGGTCACGACTGTGCTTTGTAATCAAACATGGCAACACCAGTACTCTGCATTTATAGTGCCAAAGGCATCAACTTCACTGTCCTTTCTTCACCTTTTCTTTCACAGGGAAAGTTTTGTGTTCAGCTGCTGAGTATTTGCCTTTTACCTACACAAGGCCCCACAGTGTAATAGGGAAAGAGCATGTCCAAGAAGTGTTTTATGAAAGATGATTTGGCAGTTGTTGGCTAGGTCTCTGGAAGTTCCAGACAACAAGTATCAGGCACCTTGTTCTTAGTGTACACAGCATTAGAGCTGATCTCTTCCCGATGAGCTTTATGGTGCTCCAGCTTTAGAGGGTTGCCACTCATCTCCGTGAGAAAGGAAGTAAAGGAGGAGTGGTTTGGCCAAAGTCCACATTGCCCGAACAAAGATTACCGACCCCCTCTAGTGGCGCAACGATGGGGCGGTTGGTTTGGTTTGTGTTGACAGCTGCAACAACACAACGGCAATTAAAGGATAATCACTAAGGGATGACCAACAAAACAGCTTAAGTACCAAATGCAGTTTAATGAGTTCCAGATTTTGTTCCCAGAAGGAATTTATAATGTGTCAGTACATTATTAGGCAGGTACACAACTTCTCCTGAAGTACAGGCATGAGGAGAAATGACTATAACACACTAGGTATTTAAGATTACTCTTGGAAACCAGTTTTCCACAGTATTAGAAATAAGGCATGTTTCAGGCGTGCATGTGGCTGGCTGCTATATCCAGTCCTCAGATGCCATATTTGGCCTTTAGTTCTTCCACTTTTGCTATGTAAGCTTTCATTGCATCTTCTTTGGACATTCCTGAAGGACAGAACACAGGAAGCAGTCAGATACCCTTTATAGATTAAAATACCTTTTACAATTCCTTGGCATAACCCGTAGCTACCAGACACCAGAGGAGCCAGGAAGGTCAGTTGGCTGGGAATCCACTGTTAAAGTTTTACACAAACGTGCTCATCAGCCATGATAAAACAGTGTTTCAAAGCCAAGTTGTTTTTGTACAGACAGCAACTAAACAGTGTATCAGTTCTATTAATGCCATTGACAATTATTAGAGGAAACCTATTCAGTCAACTTAAGACTGCATTTAGATGTTAGTGCTGTTTCTTTGAAACACCAGAACCCACCCTTGTCCCCCATTGCCATAGATTAGACCACTTGTTAAGGTCCTTGTTTAGAGCAAAGAGGTCTGTTGTTTCTTCTAAAGCTTTCTTAACTGGAAGATGCAGAACAACTGGGGGGAGAGCTCAGCCTCTGGAGTACTAGGCTGGGACCTCGAAAACAGATTCCTTAGGTTTCTGTCCATGTTACTGTTCTCCTTTGTTTAACATCTCGAGCCAGGTGGGCATTTTGCCTCTTAATTCCCTTTCACACAGGCAATAGTTTTCATGATTACTTGCGCCTTGTAGAGGTAATCAAAAGTTTATTATCATAGCATTCTGAACTTCTAGAATTCTTGTATTATAAGGCAACACTATTCTGTTTCTTGCTGAACTATACGTGCTTTTCTGACTTTTATTAGTTTTTTAAGGAGACAATTACCTTTCAATGCACTCCAGGCATCCCACTTGGCTTTGCCTTTGAAGTCCAGCATACCAGGGCGTTCTGAGAGAGACAAGGTAAGCAGCAGAATTAGTTTGTGTGATCTGCGTGTAGGTAATCCCCCTGAAGGCTATTTAGTTCTTAACTATGACAAAATAAAATGGCTGATCTTTGCAGCTGTTACTAACCTGTAGTCAGCAGATTACCTCAAGGGAACACACTAGAACACTGTTGGTGACAACTCTGTCGAGTTCCCTTGAGACAGCAGCATTAGAGCAGAAGAGCACCAACTAGTGTGATTTGGTTTTACTGTGCTTTCTGAAGAGCCTGCTGTCACCTGACAGCTATCCAATTAAACAACACCAGACCTGAAGTAAAGCAGAAATACCCTAAGGTCCATTACATGCTAAGATATGAAAATAGAAGCTGGTAGCATACAACTTAGAACTCACTATCATCAAGCTAATGGTGTGTTTCTAACCTGTCATCTAGGGATATAAACTTGGAATTTTAACTCACTTCACTGCAGGCTACATGCGGCCAAGTAGAGAATGAATGATGTATATATGGCTACTCTTCAAGTCCCCTCTGTGGTTTTACTTCCTCTCTGTCTCCTAAAAGACAATTCTTAAGACTGTAAAATGGAACTGGACAGTAGCCACAGAAATACCCTTGTGCAGCTCACATGGCACAGTGACCTGCAGAGCTACTTGGCAGCTCTCCAACACAAACCCCGTCAGGCACTCTTTCACAGGCTGCTTTTCTGGCCAGCTCACGTTGGCTCCTGCTTCTCAAGAGGGCAGCCACTTACAGAAATGGTGGTGTATTCACAGCTCTAGAGCACCATTTCTGCCTTGTCAAGCATTAATAATCTCAGGGTCCAGCCACACTGAAAGAATTGTATCTTAAACCCAAAGTCAGTTCTTTTCTGCCTCCACGCTGCCCACCCTGGGAAAAGGAGACTGCAATTACCATTTCCTGTATACTTCACTGCCAGCTTTTAATTCAATAGACACCCAATAAACTTCACCAGCTACTGGGTTAGGAGGCCAGGACTCTAAACAAATGACCTTTTTCCTTTCTAATTCTAGCTACTCCAGTGTTACACAAGGTCAGTAGAGACAGGCTTTACTCTAAATGTTATTCCAGGGGCTGAGCTGCCAGTGGCAGAAATGTAGCAAGAGAAGTAGCAGGAGACATTTTGCCTAGTGTACCTGCAGACATATTTTTGCCACAGTCTTTCCAAAACGCGATATTTAATTGCAGCTCCTATAAGACTTTTCTCCCGTTCTTCTGGTTTTGCTTTCCAACGCTATTTTTAGCAGCCAGTCCAGTCTAAATAAACTGTGTGTGTCATTACCCTCGTATTGCAGTTCCACACTCCTGTAGTCTGGTTTGCTGCTTAAGCCTGTTTAACCCGAGAGGTGTTTGCATCAAACCAGCACCCCGTGAGCTGGGCAGCTGCTCACTGGCAGAGCTCTGCAAAAACCCCAGTACCACGACTTTGCACCAAGCTAATACACAAAGGATCCCCAGCCCCTCGCTGCACGATCCGGACGGTTGCAGCTGGGTTAATTTAAAAACCAGGGATTGCACAAACCCTTATCGGGCCGGGCCGTGCCCTGCCCGTAAATCCGAGCCAAGTCGGCTCTGAGTCACCAGAGCCGAGCCGCAGGGCTGCGGGCAGCACAGCGGGGAAGAAGAGGCTTCGCCCCCAGCGCCGCCCGAGGGGACACCTACCCGTGTTCACGTCGCCCACCGTGGCCTGTTTGTAGTGGCTGTAGATGTCGAGCATCTCCTGGTCCGCGGGCTGCGACTTGAGCTGCTTCACCTCCTCGGCGGCCTTCTGGAACGCGGCCTGTGGGGGGAGAGAGCGGCAGTGGGTGATGAGGGGAAGATGCCGGGTTGCCCCCCCCGTGCCTCCGGTGTCAGCCCCGGTGTCGCCCCCGGTGTCCCCCGCACCTCGCTCATCTCCGCGGCCCCTCCGCGCTCCCGGCCCCTCCGCGCCTCTGCCGCGCCGCCCCCGCCGCGCGCGCGCCTCACCCCTCGCCTCACCCGCCGCCGCCCAATCAGCGGCGCCGCGCTCCGCCGCTCAGCCAATCGGCGCCCGCCGAGGGGCCGGCACGCGCCGGGCGAGGGACCAATACAGAGGCGGCGCGGGGCCCGCCCATTCATGAGTGTGGGGGAAAAGGGGGCGGGACCCGAGAGAGGCGCAGCCAATCCCGGCCTGCGGTGAGTGTCACCCTAGGGACGTGATTGGTGGGATTGGCGAGGCGGGACCCGGAAGTGCCGGCGCGGAGCGGTAACGGAGCCAGTCGGGCGGGCGGCGGGTTCGGGGCGAGGGGATTTGTGCTTGGGCTGGTCCCGGTGCTGCTGCGGGACCGGGGGAGGGTCCTTTCCACAACAGGAGTCGACCACCAGCGCCTCTGACCTGCGCTGTTCTCTCCGCGGAGGCCCGGGGTAGTATCGGGCCCCAGCCCTACCTGTGATCGATCTGTTCGTTCTGAGTAGCAGATGTGAAAATCGGCGATTTCTGGTTGTGCTCCCAAACCTGTGCTCTTACAGTGTTTTTCCGTCCTGCTCAGGAGAAAGTGAATTGAATGCTGTGCCCTCCAGACCTCCAGCCCACGTGGAACAGCACCAAGAAAATATCCGTCTGTGCTTTTGTGGTGATACCCACCCTTAAGGGGAAGGGTGTTCGCAGCTGTTTAATATAAATCTAGTTATTTTCAGGTGTGAAGTATGCTTCTTGTTTGCTTGTTTGGCACGTTTTATTTGTGTGTCACAGCTTATTTGCAATGGAATTGGATCTCTGGGAATTATTAACCAAGGGGACGTAAAAGCAAGTTGCCCTGTGATGTGGAAGGTCTGTGTCCTCGTTCTGCAGATAGTGCTTGAGGAAAATATTGCTACTTTGCTTTGCCAGGATGGAGGTAGGATAGATACAGGAAACACTGGTATGTACCTGGATATCTACGTGGTGATAAGGCACTTAAATAACCACCCCCAGAAAAACAAAGGCAAAAAAAAAAAAAAAAAAGACACACAAAAAGAACATAAAGGGATGAACAGGTGAGAGAATCCCTTGCAGGACTGGAGGTGGTGACTGAAATGGTTGCTGCAGGGATGGGAGGTGCAGGGGTTGTGCTGTGGCCCTGCCTGATGTCACAGCACATGCACTGCAGTCTTTGCTTCTTGCTGCTGCAGCCACAGCAGTTTGCCATGTGACCAGGAAACAAGGCTGCTGAGGGATACCCAGCACCAAAAATAGAGAAGTAGGTTGAGTTAGGAAACAGTACGTTTTCCTGTGGAGAGAAAGAACCCGACAGAAGAACACGTGGGCTTGTTTGAAGAGGGGTTTGGGTTGATGAAGCCACTCTGTTTTAGGATCTGCTCTCTGTTAAAGTATATAAGCCCTGTAGAGCCATTCTAGAGACCTACTATTATAAATGAAATCCCTTAATTATGTAGAACTGTACCAGGAGGATTATTTGCATGTGTATGTGGGGGCGGTTTTTCCACTTTCTCTAGGGAGGTGAAAACAAGCATGTGACAGCTTAGGCATTTTTCGGGGTATTACACTCTCTGCAACATAAGTATGTTAAAAAGGTTTTGGTTTTGTTCATATTAGCACATTCTTCTAGAGCACGAGGTTACTCACCCAGTAAGTGAAGTCACCTGAAACCCAAACAACATAATTGCATTTACCCACAACATTTTTGCATGTTTAATGGGAAGTCTGGTGTGGCACCACACAGTACAGATACAAATCATGTGGTGTGCAGTATCAGTAATGTCCTGTTTGCTTTGAGACCCGGTCACTGCTTCTGTAGGAATAATGGAGGTGAAACCCTGAAAGACACGATATTGTTGAACTTCTTAACCATGTTTTAATCTTTGCATGAGGCCCAACCTGCACCTTTGATTTCCAGCTGTGCCTATGCACAAAGGAAAGGCAATAATTCCTCTCTTTAATGTTTTCCAGGTGATTCAGAATTAATTCTCATGTCATCAGAGAGCTCGACTGTCACAGTTCGTCTTGTTCGCTCTTTTGAGCACCGGAATTTCAGACCTGTGGTGTACCATGGAGTTTCCTTGGATCAGACAGTGAAGGAGTTCATTACTTTTGTGAAGAAGGGTAGGGGATGCTTGTCTTGTTTGTTCATTTCAGTCCCGTGTGGTGTTGTCCCTGCCCAGAAAAGTGGAGGGGAGCAAATGAATGGGAATTCTGTGGCTTTGGTAGAGATGCCAGATTTGTATTTACATCCCCTGTGAGCTTTTCTCCCTTGGATGAAAGGTCTGGAGTTAATAAGAACTTCCATGGTCAGTGTGCCATGCCTAAATTTGGATAGACTTCTCCCCCTGCCCAAACCCCACGTTTAGTCCAAAAGGAACAAGGGCACTGATGCATTTGGCTCAGTGCCTCAGGCTCCTTGCATGGTGCTGTCAGGCAGATATTCACAAATTAAGAGGAATAAATTAATAGAATTTAGAGAGCCTTTGATCCTAAGGAACTACACCAGTGTGTGGAATGTGGGAATGCAAGTCTGTTTGCTATTTGGGAGAAGAGAGAATCTTGAAAAAATTGTTTTTGACACTGCGAGGTCTTGCTGTGCATGTTTGTTTCCGAGTTTCTGGCTCCATCTCGGGCTTTGTGGTGCAGATTTACTCATCTGTGGGCTCTGTTTTAGAAGCCTCGTTGAAAGTGACGGTGAATGTAAAAGTTAATTACTGCAGACCAGCCCACGCAGCGACTCAGCTGTTGGGGTGTTACCCTTGATGTTGCAGGTGTATTTCCACACACCTAAGTGGAGACATTCAAAGGGAACAGAATAACATCATTTGCTTTTTTACATGAAGTCAGCTTAAACAAGTCTCGAGTTGTTTATAGATGATAACATTTGAGCAACTCCTATGGCAGTGCCCTGGGACTCACGGCTATATTGTGCTTCTGGTGGCTTCCATTCCTCTAGACAGTGATAGGGATGGCAAAATCTTAGGATGCTTTTAGAAAACTGCAAGTACATATGGTACAGCTGCTGTTATGAAGAAGAAAATAAAAACCAATGCTGAGAAACTTGCTTTTGGTGTGTGCAGTATTGCAGCTCACAGTTACTTGAGACAAAGCCAGTGCTTTGAACAAGACTTTTTGGAACCTCATTCCACAGAGGGATAGTGCTGTTCCTGGTCCAAAAGCCATGTTCCTTGCTTTGCTGTGATCTGTTTTGAAAGGGGAGTTTGAGATAAATTGTTAAAAGTAGTAATGAAATCATGGTTTCAGCTGCTTTTCTGCCAAGCATTCCACAGGCCTTCCAAGGCCCTGGTTAAGTCCCTGGGTGTCACTGGGAACACTGGCACCTGGGAAGGTGTCATTGTTCTTGCAGATACTTATGAGCTGTGTCCTGTATAGAGCTAAAGATTTGATTTTCTACAGTTTGGCTACTTTTTTTGTGGCTGGTTCTCATGGCTGTGTTTACTGAACGATTCAGTAATGAATGACAGTTGTCAGCTGTCTGTATGACGTAGAGAGAGGTGCTGTGCAAACCATTAAAAGGGTACTCCTGCCAGATTTCTGAAGGATCAGACTCCTGTGCTCATATCCTAATTGCACTGACTCACTGTCCTTATGGGTTGTTCTGCTCTGAGGGACTTCATGCTCAAGCGAAGTTAATCACATATGGGGTAACTATAGAATCTGAGCCACAGGTTGTGTTTTAGTATTGGATGCTCAACCAAGTCTCCTGTGTTGTGGATTTATTTTGATGTAAAGGATGTCCAGGATGCATACACTGCACAATAATAGAAATTAAAATATTGGAAATAAAAAATTGTTTTAACTTGGTGCTTTTATTTTAACAGATGTATCTTCAAGAACAGGACTTCCTCCTCCCTTTAAAAATTACAAGTATGGTAGGTGTGGTGTTTTTTTCTTGTTTTAGTTACTGTAAAATGCACACATAATACTCCATACCAGTGCTTATACAGTTTAAAAGGCAACTACTGTGGAATACTCCTGCTGGTGTCAGCTCTTGTAGGTGAGGTTATGGCACTGGGATCATGTCTGCAGAACTCGACCATTATTTTGAAGATCCACATTAATCTTTGAATTCGGCTGCATGTTATTCATTATTTGCTCTTGCGTACGGATGGTTTTTAGTATTAATTTTTTATTACTGTTATAAATGCCTTTTAACTTTGTCCTAATGAGCAGCTTGTGATCTCAAAACACTTTGAAATTGTAGTTCTCTATGTGCTTATGTACTTCAGTATCTGTTTACTAATGGTGAAGTCAGAAAGGATGGTGAAACAGAAGCTGAAGGCAATAAGTAGAAAATGAAGACTTTTGTGTGTAAATAATTTACATTATATAAGACAAGCAAGGGAACTTAGCTGTAAAGAAGATATGAAAGCTCTTAAATACAAGTTGGTGGAATGAAATAGCCGAAACTTGGCAGTTCTGAAAGTTCCCTTGGAGTTTTGCTGCAAGTGATCCTCTGTCTCTTATGTTCTTGGAGCTGAAAAACTCCTTCTACAGTGATTCAAGTAATTGAATGAGAAACCTACTTAGTACATGTGAATGGTAATAAACTCTATTTGCCTATTAAAAAAAAAACCAACAAGGATTTCATTTTGTGCTCTTGCTGATGGTGAAGGAGATGGTGCAAAATGAAACCAGAAAAAGGATTAGGGATTAAGACTGACGATATGCCAGTGGCAAGGACTTGAATGTTACTGTTATTTTTAATATGTTACTTAATCTCTAGGTAATTAGCAGTTTGAATTTGGAGGTGCCCTTCATTCCATCAGTGGCTTTGGCCAGATGGGGTGGTCCTGTTTAGAACCGCTGCTATCGTTGTATTCCTGGTGTTGCCTATCCCTGCTCCTAGTTCTTTCATCTCTTGGAGATCAGTTTAGTTTTTCCCAAGGCATAAGTTGTGGCCAAGCACCTGATTGTGCTGTGTAGGATTGAGCATAACTTTAAAACCTGCTACACCAGTTAGTGGGGGCCTACTTTTACTGGGATGGTGCTAGCTGCCTGAAAATTTTCACATAGGAAAATCAAAGCCAAGTTCCTTCGCCTTCCCCTCAGGCTGTGAATCATCCAGGTTCTTGTTTTTGGCATCTCTACTGTCTCTACACTGCTCCACTGTCTTGGATTTTTGTGAGAAGAGGGCAGTGAGACTTTTGCATGAATAGTGGTAGTAAGAGTGCAGATTTTTTCCTTCTGCTTTTTTTGGCAGTGCCAGAAATCTCAGTTGGATTGGCTGTCTCTCACCTTGCCTGTTTCAGCTTCTTCCCTCTCTCCAGAATTCAGCACCACTTTGTTCTCTCAACATCATATATAATGCCATCACATTTTTCCTCATGGATTTGTGCTCCAACTCACATCTCAAAGAGTATGACTTTCATTTTCTCTTTGTTTCTTTAAACACATAATTCTTGTCCCTGGTCTAGAGCTCTTCTCAGTCAATTTTATCTTCCTACCCTGTCATTGCCTTCCTTCCACTGGTGATAGCAGTGAAGATAGTGCCATCTTGTCTCATAAACTGTTTCTCAGTTTTATTTCTTTTCTCCATGAATGTGGAGCAATATGGTAGATGTTTCACAGAATCAGACTTTACAAAGTGATTTCTTATCTATTATTATGAAAGACCTCTTAACAGAAAAGACAAGATAAAAAACTGCCAATATGATGGAGTGGAACTAAGTGGGCATGAAATAGCAAAGGCTAGTGAGAGAACATAAGGCTTTAGCTAGGATGAGAAGAGACTGTAGTTTTATCTCTGTAACAGAGTTGGAGATGGCATTTAATAGCTCAGATGAAGACAAGGAAAACTGCTGAGTGCCTGTGGTGGAGTTGTGAACAAACAAAATTGAGACAATGGTTCAGGGAATGACTGGGCAAAGACTAGAGAAAAGGGAACGTGGCAAAGTAGGCAGAGAAGTTTAGAACTAACAGGCAGAGGCTGTGTTTTATTTGCTGTGGTAGGAAGGTTTCGTGATTGCAGTATATTTTTTTCTGTGGTTGCTTGGTCTTTCTGCAATGCTTCTATGCAAGATGGATCCTGTTAATTGCAATTTAATGTCTGTCTTGCTTCTAATAACACAGTTATTACAACATGCCAAGGCTGCCTTCTTAGTGACCTCTGTGGTGGGAATAGAGTAGTTTCTACCTTATGTAGTGTTTTAAATAGTGTCCAAAATGGGCCAGAGGGTTATGGAAGCAAACTTCTGAGTGGGAATGTGATCTCTGTTCTTTTGAACATCTGAGTACTTGCTCTCGGTAGTTTGTGAGTTGGTTTAGTCTTTATTTAACTTTGTTGCATCCTTCTGTTACCAGACTATTTCAACACAGTGTTCACTTAGTGCACAAACCCAAAGTAGAACAGAAAATGAGCCAGCAAGCAGAACTGGTTTTTCTTCTTTGCTGGGGAAGGGATTGATGTATTACTCTGAATTTGTTCAAACACAGCAGCTTTGGAGTTTGATTATTATTATTTAAGTGCTGCATTAAGTGCTGACTTCCATTCCCTCTGGATGCTTGAACTCATCCAGTTGCTTCAGTGACCACATTATTTTCCCCTGTTTTTCCCTTCTGTTAAAGCCCTGACCTCATTGCCACAAGAAAGTGGCACTTTTTTTCTTTTTTTCAACAGCATAATTTCTAAAAGTACTATATTGCACAAACATATAGAGATAAAAATTACTGAAGAGGGTATAGCATTAAAAAGAGAAGAGCCTGTACCTGCTAAAGGAAGATGAACTTGCTTAACAAAATTTCTACCGTGGATACTTCATCCAGGAGAAGGAAAATTTCAAGGATGATCTGAAGTGGTCAGGTTACTGTCTTAATCACTTGTTGCCTATCACCTTAGCTGTAACAGTTGACAATGCATAAATGCTGTTGGTCCTGACCAAATTGCATGTGTAAAACCTGTTAAAACACCCTAAGTGGCATTTAAATTGATGTCTTTTGACTGGCCATTGGGATGGTCATTAGTTATTGTAATTCAGCCAGCAGACAGAAGCCCATTAGGATGTGGTACCTTAATGTTGCATCGACTGGTTTAAGGCTGTGGCTGCAGGACTGGGTGATTAAGATTGAATAAGCAAAATTGTTAATAACAAAAGATTTTGGAGCTTCCGCCTGTGTTTTTTTTTTCCCGAAGTGCAGCTCTGTGTTATCTGCTTATTAAGCCTTATTTTAGGAAAACACTGTGATATCTTTCAGATACAATGAAGATTATTCACCAAGCACACAAATCTAAGGTAAGATTATTAGCTGTATTCTTCCCCTCTTACGTGCTTTGATGCAGGCAGATCTCTGCACTGTCAAACAAGGCTGGGGCAGAGGCAATCAGCAGATTCTTATTTTGTATTCTGGTTCTCTGATTTGTAGACTGGTGAACTTGTAGTGAGTTTGGAAGATGATGACAAACTGATTTTGAAAGAAGACAGTACACTGAAAGCAGCTGGAGTAGGTAGGAATACATTTGTATTGACTGGAGATGCTGTTCATTGTGGTTGCATTAAACTGATCACTGGCTGATTATGTTTGGATAGGCTGCCGAAAAGTAAATGCTATTCCTGATGCTCTTTACACGACTTCATAATTATTCAGGGAAGAATTATTCAAATCATTGGTCTGAGGGCAGCAGGTATCTGCACTCCAAATGTTCTGAATGCAAATTGTGATTTTTGGAGGGTATGCTTATAATTCTGCTGAGAGTAATTTTAAATGATTGACAGATAGGTTATTAGTACCGTGTCTGCTTAGTCTTATCAGTAACATTTAAACTGATGTTTTGGTTAGAAATGTAAGTAGTGGAACCAGGATGGAATAATGAAATAAGATTAGATTTGTTTAATGTGCTGCATACAGTGCCTGATAGTCAGATTGCTCAGGAAAGCTCGAGCAGTACCATTTAGAGAATGTGCTGAACATAGCAAAGAGTTGAAACTTGACCTGATTTCTCACATTTTGACAGGAGACTACATATAGGGCATGTCTTTTGGTAATAATGTAAAGAAATGTCTGTCATGATAAAATTGATGGTCCCTGGATGTCCTCTGGGCTTCTGGTGAACGTGGCTGAATGACTTTGTGGCAGCAGGGTACTTAAGGGAGGTGGTTGCGTTCCACCCTGCTATGGATGTCTGCTCATTTGAGTCTGATTTGCCTGGCTGGAACACATTAACTGCCTGTGCCCTAAGTGCAGGGGCTTCACAGAAGAAGCCCCCTCCTGTTCCTGATGCCCACTGATGGCTCCCCAGCTACTGAGTGGGATTTCTTTCTCATAGGTTTCTTGGCTCTTTTGTTTCCTGCCATTTGCTTTCTGGTTTTAAGTGACTCGGGATGGCTCATCAGTGTTTTTCTCTGGGGTGAACTGCAGTTGGTCTCAGTACACCTTTCCTAAAGGTCTTTGGGTGTTCCTATAATATGAATCATAGTTACTGTCGCCTGTTTTTACTGAACCAGGTATTTTTATCTGGAGGGGAAAAAAAAAAAAAAAGAGAAAGGGGGATTACTGGCACTTAAGCCTTATAGATTTGTAATTTAGTTAGCAGAAGAGTGATTTAAGCATGATTTTTATCTATCTAAGAAGCAATGCAGTTCAGGAGAGGGACTGATGACGGTACCAAATGTTAAATTAGAAACAACGCTATCAGAGTTACCTTCTTTCAGAAAGGTATTGATAAGTATTTGTATATATTATCCCTCTTTGAAACTAGGTTTGTAGCTACAGCAGTGAAACAGTTGGATGTTATCTCAAAAGAGGTGTCAAAACATCAGAATAAATGTTACAGAGAAAGGAAATAGGAATAGACCAGCCTGTTCTGTGTCTCTATGCAATGGGAGGGGTAGTTTATTCAGGGCAGAAAATTATTTAAAGATGCTTTTCATTTTTTTGTTTTCTGAATAACTAACAGCAGTTAGTCATTAGTGTATAGAGGATATTAGTGATAGAAGAAGAAAACCCTTTCTTTGGAAAATGCCATGTGCCATTATGCTGTTTTGAATTTTGATATGTTCCAGCATATCTTGATGTGAAAATTAGCTAAGTTAGGAATGAGTGAGGTCTTTGTAGTAAAATCTTGAAGATTTTACTTTTCCTCTTCAACTAGAAGTGGAAAAGAGTAAACCAAGAAAGTGAAGCATGATAGCATATACCAGTGGTCCTCATTTTGTACAGTTTCTTTAAATCAGTAAAAAGATTTGAAATCTCCCATTGAGATATTGCAGTTTTCCAACACCTAAACTGGACAAGATTTACCAGAATAAAATAGAGAATCGCCATTAGCAAACCTGGGAAATTCTGAGACATGCAGAACATTTTTTCTAAGCTGCAGTTGATTGCCCTTGGCACTATACACGGTTGGGCTAGAGAGTTATAAATTATGAGGACATTAGATAAGTATCCTCAGGAAAGCCTCTGTGGTAGTGATGATTATTACAGTTATTATCTACTCAGCAAAGTTCATGCTTGCCCTTTTTTTTTTTTTTTTTTAAAGCAGGGTGTATGTTAATAAAGTGTTCAGTATTCATTGCAAACATTCTTGTCTGTTTTCTAGTTGAGATTCTAAAATCCCTTCTGCCTTTTTGTTTTTAACAAGACAGGCAGACTTCATTAACTTAAAGTTTAATTTAAAAAACGAATGTGGAACTTATTGGCTCAGCACCTTAAAGAATTCCATGTTTAATAATTGTGAAGGCTTTCCATCAGATTTGTCTCTGTTCTGAATTAGTAATGTTGCTGACTTATTGTTTTAAAAGAGGAAGTCCTTGACCTACTGGGTTGAAAGAATTGTGACTGCTCTGAACCTTTGTGGGTCCTTTAGCTCTGCCATATCCCCTGTGAATAATTAGAGGTATTTGAAGGTATTGCTGGAGAAGCCAATTTGTGTCTTTCACTTTGCATATTGTTGAAGCCTCATGAATTAATCATCAGCAGGGCAAAAAAATTAACTTCTTCAGACACATATTTTGATGGGTCATGAGGGAGAATGTAAAGTGATCTGTAAAATATTCTACTGATCCTCTAAGTATTAAATTATTATACCTACAGGCTAATTTAATGCAAAAAAAGTTTCTTTTTCCTTTTCTTAACAGAAAAATTCACAAAAAAATGAGTGCTTCATTATTTTCCTAGCATTTGAAGTTGTTAGAAATGCAGTCACTTCATTTGCTAGATGCTTATACAAACAATTCTAGAGACTGCAAAACAAATCTTGAGGGGTCTTGTGTACATATTTACTTCCATATATTCATGTTCTTGCTGTTTTTGTTTGTTTGGGGTGTTTTTTTAACAAGGTTACATGACATCTTTAATACTGGAGTCTTTTTTGCAAAAATATGAGAAGGAAAAGAAAGGTGTGTGGAGAGTTACAGTTATCTTCTAAGATTCTCAACATCTGGCTGTTGGGTGGTTCATTTACTGGTGTGTTAAATATTTTATTTTTTATTCGTTCCAGCAAATGAGACGGAATTAGCATTCTTCTGTGGGGAAGATTACAGAAACTACAGAGCTAATCCTGTTTCGGCCTGGTGAAGATCCCAAGAGATTGTTTTGTTTTCCCATACCTGTTGTAAATTTCCCTTATTCTGCTTAATGAGATTTTTCTTAAAGATCAGTAAATCCTAGAGGATTGCTTTGCAAGCAGTGCAATTCCCTTACTATAGAAATTAATTTCTGTCAATATGCCTCGACTGAGAGAAGGAAAACTGGGGGACATAAATTACTTTTTTTCCTTTCTCACTTCTCTCTTTCCTTTGCATGCCTCTTGTGCTTCAGGCAGTGCCATCTCTGACCTGTGACACACGTTCTTGGTGTGATCCTACAGCAGAGAGCAGCTGCATATGGAGATTATACGATGTACAGTAAGATCCCATCACAGTACTCACTTCTAATGAAAATGAAGCAAACCCTCCTTCAATTAAATGAAAAGTTTTATGACCAAATCACTGGGTATTTTAAAGAGCTTGAGAAGAGAATGTCTCTGTTTCTCAAGTCATAGCTTTACTTCTCTCATTTTGTGTTTGGTCTCTTTTGTTTAAGTAGTGCAGACTGGCAAGTGTTTCATGCTTTTCACTGGTGAATACTTTCCATTATTCTCTCTTCCAGCCCTCTTTAGCATGCTGAAAGGGGCAAATGACTGTTGGGAGGCTTTTGTGTTCAGGACCAGCTCGCCTGTTTCTAGCTTTAATTCGTGGAGACACCTTCATACAGAGGTAGCAACTCGAGTTCTGCCAGGACGTCAGTGTGTCTAAGTAGGAATTGGGCATTTTTCCAAATGGAGTGAAAGGTCATGGTTTCAGTTTTATTCTTAAAATGAGAATCATTGCATTTTTGTGAGGAGAGGCCCAGTCTGTGAGCCACATGTCTTCAAGACTGGAAATGATTCCTTTCTGTTTTCCATGAGCCAAATACTTTGTTGCTATGTGTTTGTTCTTGGTAATTTCAGGCTTTTCTACTGCATGAACCAAATAAAGAATAATAGAAAATAGTCATGTATTCAATAAAGTACCTTTAGATAAATACCACTTACAAAGTGCTTTTTAGGGGGTACCAAGATGGGACATTGTGCCTTTAAGCCTCTCTTAACTGGAAGAGGAATGATGCTGGCTCTCTGCCTTAGCAGGCTTTTTGAGCACAGGCTCTGCTAAATCAAATGAGACCTCACATGCAGTTGCTGTACCCTACACATGTACTCTTACGCTTTAAGTTGAGACCTGACTCTACCATTTCCACAAGAGACTTTCTGGAGAAGTAAGCTTATTGTTTCCTGGAACTTTGATTATTTTTCGTCTTTTTTTATTGACACATGATACTGAAAAGAGATGTGTGATTTCCAAAGTATCTAAATAAAATTTCCCTTTACTTTAGATGTACATCCGAAGAATCCTCCATGTATTGTTCCCACCTTGTTTTCTTCATCCTTCCTGACAGCTCTCTGGTTTAGGCTGTTTCTGTAGCTGGTGCTACTCACCGACAGCTTTTATCTCTGGTGAAAGTACTCTAACACTTTTAAAACTGTGATTAAAAGGATTGGTTGTATCATTATCTTGTAAGGAGAAGTCCTGTGTCACTGAAGTCACCTGTATTCTTTTGGGCTTTAGATGCTGTTATGAATTCCGTGATGAATTTGTGAGAACTTACCCCTTGCCTCCTCTTTCTGTCCAGGCAGCCTCTCTGTTGCTGATACCTGCTCTCCTCCAAACATGTGCCCATGTCTCATCTACCTTCTTACACAGTCTGTCGTGTTTGCAGATTTATCTGTCTAATACAGGTTTGTACTCATCTTCTCAGGCAGTTTAAGGTAATGCATTGCACTCCAGCTTTGTTCAGCCAAATTTACAATCTATTCATTAAATAAATGGCGTACCAGAGAGATCAGTGTCTCAGACTGGCCTGCCAAAGCATCTAGATGGTGTCAGTCAGCACACTCAGGCTTTCAGACTGCTTTCAGACTGAGCAAATGCTGCCATTCTTTTACTCCTGTTCTGGGGATTTGAATTTGGTCTCCAGCCCTTTCAAACAGATTTGGATTGGTTTTGTGATCCCTTTTTTTCTAAGGCATTTGTGTTAGAAAGAGTCACCACATTTTAACAACTGTTCTTTCTGGGCTTGTACAGTTCCAAACTCGGTGCCACTTTGAGTGTGGCACAGGGGAAGAGGGATTCTACAGCATCAGTGAGGAAAAACAGTAAATGCAAATATTCAAGAATGATGTGCCTGGCACTCCAGATTAGCTTCTCTTTCCAAGGGAAGAGTTAAACTACTGCTTTGTGAGCTCAGTTCGCTCTGGCACTGGCACTTCATTGGCTCCTTTCTCCAACAGCACAGTAGAGCCTTTTGTAAAACTCTCAATGGCCATACTTGTAAGCTGGTTTCTTCCTGAAGTGTTTTTCTACTGTGTTGCTGGTTGTGTTTTTTTTTTTTTTGGGTGGGTTTTTTTTTTTTTTTTTTTTTTTTTTTTTTTTGGTTGGTTTTTTTTTTTTGGTATTGGTTTTTATTGTTGTTGTTTTTGAATTGGACCTTTAATAATGCTCCTTTCAAGTAAACCCCACAAAACCACAGATAATAAGTGAGAACATGTCAAGATATATACTGTTCCAACATTTGTTGGTGGGATGTGGTATAGCCTTGTGTCAAAGTAGATTTCATTTCATGATTGTTGAGTACTGAATGAAGACTGAACACTGGCTAATAAATTAGTAAAAACTGGGATGTCTTTGCCCACGGGATTGTGAAATCCTCTTTCTGTTGAAGGAGTTGGTGCCGTGGTTTGTTATCCTGGCAGAGGTCATGAGCTGCATTGGTTCACAGTTGCTTTTAATCAAAGCTGTAGTGGGGTAAGTCATATAGCTTTGCTAGTGTTCTTAGACATTGTGGGGTTAATAAGGATTCATCTTTCAGTGGCTGTCCTTGGAATCTTTCACCCTTTAAAAACAAACAAACAAACAAACAGAAAGAGCAGTATTCAGAGGGGATGCTGAAATAAGATAAAATTTCTCCTAAGTTATAGCACTGTAGCAAGGAAAGGTAGTTAAACTAGAACCCCAGGGTGTAGTGTGGGGCTTGCTTGTTGCTTGGAGAAAAATCACTTCAGAGGGACTGGAGTTTTGGTTAAGAGGTGTGAAAGAAGGGCTGCTAAAGAGAAGAAGTTAGGAAAGGAATTACCAGGAAGAGGTTAAGGTGTAACTGAATAAACATGCAAAACGTGAATTGTGCAACACCCTTGATGCAGAGATACTGAAGTAGTGTTGCTTTTTATAGCACTAAAGATATAAAAATGGTGCTTTTTAATAATTTTTTGAATCAAACTCATGAACTGTTGGAACAGGCATCCTTCTTTTTCTGGCTTTGTCACATTATACTTTCTGTATCCAACGGTGTTGCCCGATTTTCTGTCCAGAGGTAATTATGTTGCCTCTTGAAGAAGCAACAGTTAAGAAAACTGCTGACATGGGCAGCTGAGTTAAATGTTAACACTTACCAATGACCTAAAGGAGTCCTCAAAGATCTGAGGTGAACCGCAGTTACAGCTGGGGAACTGCTTTATTTGGTGCAAACATTCTGTCTTAAAGGTGAGCCAGAGATATGTTGTAAGCTGTGGTGGCTTCTCTTTCACTCCCTTGGAGTATTCAACACATCCCCTGACAGACCTTTTATTTTAAAAATGAGCTTGAAAGCAACGGTTCAAGAGTTACTACAGCCATGATGCGACATCTGTGTGCCCTGTCCTTGGAAGGTAATAGCCAGAGAAATCCTGAGTGTCCAGAGATCAAGGAGGAAAAACCAGAAGACGTGATACTCAGTCTCCTATGACTGATGGGATCCCAGCTTCAGAGCACAGCAGACAGCTGAAGGCATTACAAATGCCTAAGGCAAGTGCACACTTTTGCTTATTGAACAGTTTGTGCTGAGCCCAGTCTTCCTGCTTGGCACCTGATCCTCCTTCCATGACTCCCTTTTCATAGTACTACTTGGCACAGATTTGCAAATGATTAATGAGTCCTGGAACGTGCCCAGCAGACAACTTTGCTACTTTTCATTTTATTGACTTTTCTCTACGTTTCCTATTGAGTTATAGGAACATACACACACCTTTGCGTGTTTCCCCAACTGCTTCCCTTTGCTTCTTGCTGCCACCTCTGCTGATTTGCAGTGCTTGAATGGTTAGGTTTGCACCTTGTCTGCTATGCAATAGCAGCATTTCCCATGGCGTTGATTTTACACTTTTAAAAATTTATTCATGAAGAAATATGCTTTGAAATGAGGAGGAGAGCTTCTCTACACCGTCACTGTTAGTGCACAACAAAGGATCCTTTCTTGCTTTTGCAGGAGGAATTGCATAGGACATCACTGCCCCACTGGTCAGTGGAAAAAAAAATGTTTTTATCATAATGCTTTTTATCTTGGAAGGAAATGAAGAAGTTGCATCAGGAATGCAAAAAAAAAAAAAGGGGGGGGGGGCAGTGAAAAGCCAAGACCCGTTGCCATGATCTGTACTGGCCTGCAGAGAAAGCCACCAGATGTCAGCACAGCCTGTTCTTTCCTTCTCCAGAACCTGTGCAAGCCAAGAAATGTGTCATGTTTATGAAAAGTGCTTATCTGTGAACTGGGTTTGCCTGTGAAGTCTGTGCTGGGGCTCTGGTGATGAAAGCTGGATCTTTCCTTGCAGAAACTATTTCTTTTTATATTAAAATCAAAAAGCGGCAAATTGAACTGGTATCAGCGCTTAAATTCCTCTTGTTAGAGAGCATCCTTTGCGGAGCCAGTTCCCAGCGTATCTAAATCTTTGCATGCTGTGAGGAGGCATTTGCAGAACATTCATTTGAAGAATTGTCTGGAAAAGATCAGTGCTAATTTGCTGAGGTTTTGTAAAGTAGATTTTAAGTATTCCTATTTTTTTTAAACACAAGGAAAACCATCTGGAACAGGCACACATGCAAAGCAGAGCAAAACATCTTCAGCAACACAGCTTAAACACATAACAAATGTATCCTCCATGCTTCTCACCCTAAGCTCCTGCTATTTCTTCCTTGCAGTGCAAGGGCTAAGGAGAACCTGTGATGAGCTGAGGTGGGATATCAGATTCAGAGCCCAAACCCAAGCACTGTGCACAGCTTTATGCTGTCCGTGGTTGAAGTGTGCATATATGCTGCCTGGTAAAAGGGTAAATTTGAATTTTTGCACGGGGACAAGGTGAGATTCTTGTCACTTCCCTTGCAGCAGCTTGCAGATGCCAGGGAGATATCAAAGAGAGGGAAGTTACAGGAGCAGACAGAGCCTGGGTGATGTAAATGCTTGCTTCATTTTGTTCTGGGCTGCTTGTTTCTTTCTTCTATCCTCACTGCACCAGTGTGATGTTACAGGTTTACCACAGGTTGCTGTGTATGAGAACTGCTTGTAAGTTCCACACTATCACTATAACCCTCAAACAGTGTTCACACTCTGGAGGTGGTGCATGAGAGATTGCAGCTGTGCAGTCTAGTGCTGTTTGCAGAGGAAGACTGGTGTGCATGGTGTGCAGGTCACTTGGTATTATCCTTGCTTCTCTTCCTTCTGTACCAGGAATGTCAGCAAGTACTGTAAGAGCTGCTGCTGTCTGCTCTCATTCCACATCCTGGGAAAGTCTGATTCTGCTTTCCAACCTGAAGCCTAGGGAATATATTCTTAAGGACAATTTGGGAAGCCCCCTCTCTTCAGTGAACTATGATTTTTAAAATGGAAGGTGTGGTGTTGGTCTGTTTTCAACAGTACTTTGAAATCACATCTTTGGCTCTATGCACCTATTTGGATGTGGTTTCTCCCTCCAAGTTATGAGTGACAAGGCAAGAGGAAATATCCTGAGGTTGCAGCAGAGGAAGTTGTGAAGCATTGGAACAGGGTGTCTGGGGAAGTGGTGGAGTCACCAGGTATTTAAAAGACATGTAGATGTGTCACTTGGGGATGTGGTTTAGCAGTGCTGGGTTAATGGTTGGACTCAATGATCTTAAAGGTCTTTTTCAACCTAAACAGTTCTATGATTCTATGACTGTGTTCATTCAACAAGGAGGGTATCAGTTTGTTTTACAGTGAAAGCAGCATTCTAGCTCTGAAAGCCTCACATCCTAGCAGTTACTATTATGGCCATTTCTTCACACTATTCCCCTACTTAAAGGCAGACATCTGATTGTAGACAGGTCTTTAAGCCAGCAGGCTGGCATGCAGCAGCTGAAGGTAGCTAATACCAGATCAGATATGGGAAGCAGATAACCAGAGTAACTAACCAGCTGAACAGCAGCTGTAGTGGGTCCTCCAGTGCTGAGGTTTCTAAATCTAAAGCAGATTATCTTTCTAAGGGGGCCACACTAGTCTCACTTTAGGTCTTTGAAAGGTTTCAGTAATAGTATGGCTTGTGGTATGTGATCCCCCTGGCTGGACACACACAGTGCTTATTTTTAGTCTTTGATTATGCATGTCCTGCACGTGCTCTGCTAACAAGAACTGTCCCTAATCACAGATGGTATCTTGCTGCTGTATGCTCAGTTTTAAAATGAGCATGGTTCTCACTTGCACTAAAAAACCTCGTGCAGAAATTCTGCAAAACTGATGCTGCTTATTAAGGCACAATAAACAAATAAAACAAAACTGTCCTAGTGTAACAAATCTCGTTCCTCAAACCTGAGGCACAGTCTGCAAATCCCGCTAGCTTAGTGCCTGAAATTTAGAGCTCAAAAAGAACACCGGGTTTCGTTGTAGATTGTAGCTGTGTTGGCCATCTTGGAGAGACTGGAGGAAATATATTGCATAGAGGTGCTGAAGCAAGTGCAGTCCCCCTAAAGATTTAACTGTAGTTTGATATATCACTTTTTAAGTAAATCCCTGAAGAGCAAGAAACCAATTGCACTGTTAAAAGCCTTGTATTATAAAACCGAAGGAGTGAGAGAACTGTACCTGCACAGGTTAATCTTCAGATCAGGAATTTAAATGGAATCATTAAAATCAACTTACAAATTAGCTTATTAAAATGCAATGCTGCAGATCCAGAAGTTGGTTGATCTGGTGTGTCACTTGCATGAAAAAGTGACTTAAGAAGTAGAGAACAAATTTACAGTATTAAAACCCCATCTTTCTTTGCAGTTCCCCAGACCCTCATCTGGACCTCCTTCTTCCTCAAACTCTGGATCAACAGCACATTTTATTTAGTGAATTAAGCTTGTTTGATCCTGTGCTACATGTGCTGTGTAATATCAGTAGCCCCTTGTAATGAAATGTATGTCTGTACACACTTGTGCCCTCCCACATGCATAGGAGCTCCATAATTGGGCCCTGGCACCACGGGTCACAGCAATGATCGTTTTATTACCTTGATAATGAGATTCTACAAGCTGCTGGCTGTAGTGGGTTTTACTTTT